ATAAATATATTTGCATATGCATATGCCTGTATTTCGACCTTTACAAATTCCCTTTGCCTCCTAGCTCTTTCCTCTATTTTTTTTTTACTTTCCTCTTTTCGACAATCATGTTCAGCCTTCATTTGGGTTTCAGTAATAACTTTTAGTTACATTGCCCTTGATCAAGCCCTACCAGGCCTCCTACACCCTCCTCATTGATTTTGGATCACTTGTTGTCCCCTTGTCTCTGGGTTTGTTAACACCAGTTCCTTTCCCATTCTTCCCCCACTCCCATGTCCCCCTGGAACCATTGGTCCCATTGTTTTCTCCTCCATTGTTTATCCAGCCTATCTTATCTAGATAGAACTGTAGAGATAATAATATGCACAAAAAAGACCAACAAAAGAAAACAAAGCAAAACCCAAGGACAAAACAAAGAAAAGCCTGTACATAGTTGAAGGCCTGTTTGTTGACCTTTAGGAGTGTTCTCTGGTCGAGTCTGATGGGGTGCTACACCCTGACCCCAAAGTCTATTTTTGGTATTCCCTGGGGACTTCATTGCTCTGCTCCCCTTGCTGTTCTGTTGCATGCCCTCAGTGTTTTGCCCCAGTGTGGTGGGGTCACATTCGATGCAGTTCCTCCACTGTGTTTCCAGTGTTGTCCCCCGTAGCACTGTGGGTCAGTGAGGTGATCCCTCGTATATATCATATTCTCATTGGATTGGGAAGAGATGGCAAGGAAGAAAGAGAAGTTGATGTCTATTATTTTACCTAAAATGTAGTAAGAGTTTTGTGGACTCGAGCTAAACTAATAATACGTGTATTTACTGAGAACTGGCCCCATGTTTATCACTGGGTGAAGTTCAGGTCAAAGATTGGCCAGATGTCAAATATCACTGTAAACATTACTTCCTGATTGCAAAGGGGTAAATATATTATAGGAAGAACTGTAAGTTATCACCTTAAACAAACGGTTGAGCACTTTATTATTTCTCGTGGAACAAACCTGTCATTATGCTCCTCCTACTCTGATATAAAGGAGCACTGGTGGCGAAATGGTTAAAGAGCTCAGCTACTAACCAAAAGTTTGGAAATTCAAACTCACCTGGTACTCCACATAAGAAATATGTGGCAGCATGTTTCAATAAAGATAATGGCCTTAGAAGCGCTATGGCACTGTTCTATTCTGCCCTGTAGCGTTTGATTGACTTGGCAGCTACAGGTTTGGATTTTGGTTTGAATAGGTTTGAAACACTGTACTGCTTGCTCACCAAGAGGTCAACAGTTTGAATCTACTGCTATGAGAGAGAAAGACGAGTCTGCTTCCATAAGGATTTATAGCCTTAGAAACCCTGTGAAGCAGTTCTATTCTGTTTTATTGGGTCAATAATGAGTCAAAATAGACTCACCAATAGTGGGTTAAAATTTTAGTAATTTACATTTATGGGAAATACAAGGTGTCACAGATTGAATTGTGTCTCCACAAAATGTGTGTCAACTAGACTAAGCTACTGAATCTCAGTGGTTTGACAGTTATAAATGATGTGATCTGGTAGTAATGTAATGATCCCCATGATATATCATAGGATGTTGTAAAATGATTTGTAAAATGATTTTTACAGTTGTAAAATGTAAAATGTTTAAGGGCAGAACACCCTTCATTCAGTCACAGTTCTGATCCTAAACAAGGGAAGCTTTCCTAGGTTGTGGTCTACAGCACCTTTTTACACAAGATAAAAGCAGAAAAAGAGTGACCTCCTCCCACCAAGAAAGAAGAACTGAAAGTGAAACATGTCCTGTCCTTGGACCTGTGGTTCCTACATTGAGAACTTCCTATATCCAGGGGCAGTCTGATGACAAGACAGATTGGAGATCTCTAAGGAATGGCAGATCCACAGGTACTGAAGGCAAAGACCTTCCCCTCACATCTGAAGGAGGAAAAAAAGCTTTTCCCTGGAGCTGACCCCTGAATTTAGACTTCTAGTCTCCTAAACTATGAGAGAATATCTGGCAGTTACATAATCTCCTGTCAACTTTCGAGGGGGTGGAATCTAGCCTGTCAATCAGGTCATAGTCAATGAGGCCCTTCCTGTGGGCATGGCCTTCTCCTGAGGATTCTGGGAACTCCTGTATTTCCTCCCTGGAGGCGAGAAACACTCTCTGCTTCCTCTTCCTGCTGACAAGTCACATGAAGCCACGCTGATTGAGCCAGAGCCCTGGAGTTGGACAAATCACATGGAGACTGAGATGCCTCCACCAACACTAGATCCATAGGACTTTCCACCCACTGGCCTGTGATCTTCCTGCAATCAGCATCATTGGATGGCTGCGTGAGTCTAAAGAGGAATTTATGGACTAGTACTGACATATGGGGTAATATCAGTCTTATGGAGTTTCTCTGGACTGGGCTGGGTTCTTTTCTTAATGTACAATTGCTCTTAGATTTTCTTACACATATGTCTCTGGATTTGGTTCTCTAGTCTACCCAGACTAACACAGAATAATTCTATGTATAGTAGCACTATACAACTAAAACACGAGGTATAAAGGCACAGAGTAGGTTCAACCATAGCTAGACAACCCAGAAGCAGGTCAAGACAACTTGCTTAGCCTCTAAAATAACAGTCCAACAAACAATAGTATTGTAAACCGCCCCCCCCCAATTTTTTTTAAAGTGAAGGGCTGATTTAGATTAAGAGATTAATCTACACACAAAAAGCATTCTAGGACAAGTAGCAGAATCTAAACATTGATTGGATATTGAATATAAGAATAATTGCTAATTTTCTTAGGTGTAGTAAAAGCATTGTGGTTATCCAGAAAAGTATCCTTATACGAACTGTATGCGGAAGTGTTTTATTGTCTTCAATTTGCTTGTAAATACGTCTGCCAAAAGCAACAATAAAATATGTATGTATATATTGTGCACATAAACCAAAGCCAAACCTGTCATTAATTAGATTCCAACTCACAATGATCCTATACAAAGTTTTAGGCTATAAAGGCTATAAATCATTATGGGAGCAGACAGTCTTATCTTTCTCCCAAGGAATGGCTGTACACATAAATAGTTAAATACAACAAATAAGGAAAAATATTAACAATTATTTAATCTAAGTGATGGGAATGTGGCTGATTGTTGTGGCTTTTTGTAATTTTATTTTAAAATATACCGAATAAAAGTGGAAAGAAAGGAGACATGGAGACAAGCTACTAATACTTTGAGTACAGATTGTATCCAATCTCTTTGAAGGCTTGAGGGATTCCAAAACAAATGGAGTTCTCCCTTCTCTGAATTTCATTAGTACTTTGATTTTGAATTTAGCACCTAATTAACATTCTGCCTTGTACCCAGTCTGGATAGATTACAAATTCCCAGAAGACTTAGTGGAAGTTTTTTGTAGGGGAGAGCAATTATAGAAAGTGAAAGTTAAACAGGTAAATTGGAATTAGATCACGAGTGGCCTTTACAAGGGGAAAGTTTCTAAAGCAACTTACAACTTACCTCACCTTACCAATTAACCATCACGCAGGTTCTTACTCATGACCTTATGTGGATGTACGCCAGGTAAAGTTGTGTGATCCACAGCATTTTAGTAATAGCTCCCCCATCCCTTCCTTCCTTTCTGCAAGATCTCTTAAAGAAAGATGCCTTCCTTCTGAGGTCCTTCTGGGTAGCCCAGAACCGCTAACCTCAGGGTTAGCTACCAAATATCTTAACTGTTTACAGCTTTCTGGGATTCCTTAAGCAAGTAGTAGCATGATTTAGGAATGATGAAAGATCTTGGACTAGGTTGGTAACAAAGAAATGAAGAGTCCTGGGAAATATGGAGAACATTTACTTTCTTACCTTATATCCCGGTGTTCTTTGGCGGTTTATAGTGGCCTTATAGGACAAAGTAGAACTGGCCCTGTGGGTTTTCGAATCTGTATCTTTTTAAAGAAGCAGAAAGCCAAGTCTTTGTCCCGAAATTGGTTGGTGGGTTTAAATTGCTGAACTGGTAGTTAGTAGCCCAACGTGTAACCACTAGACACCAAGGGGCCTTTGCTTTCACAAAAAGGATTGGAAAACGGGGCTGCTTTTGAAAAACAACCGCTCTCCACTCCCCTCACTCACTATAACTTTGTAACATCACAGCAACAATCTCAGCATCCCGGTCTAATTTGACCAGCTTGGTTTAAGTAGGCCTTTTCAGCCATGCATGTATTCCCACCATCCATTTGGTGAGCCCGCACCTTTGGACAGGCTCACCTTCACCCGATTTTCAAGGACTCTTCTCCACCTCCACACGAGGGCAGTAATAAAACCAACCTGGAAATATTCCGAAAGCTCGCGTCTATCTTTCTTTGCGTTTTGGTGTTTTTCTTACCCAAATGCTTACATTTTCCGGAACATAGAACGTACAGTATTTTGGTTTAGGTCCAAAGTTTGAGAGCAAAGTCTACTTTGGATTCTTAAAATAGTAACACTCGGGCTTGAGGGGTTAGCAGGGTAAAGGTGAGGGGCTGTGGCCAGCAGATGGCTCTATTACCAGGCCG